AAAAAAACCCTAAAACTCTTTCTTTTGCTCTGCTATTTCTCCATGAATATATTGTTCTTTATTTAAGTTGATATATAAACCAGAGTTCTAAGCCACTACTTTGATTTGCTTTTTTTTCTTTTTAATATTTTTTTTAATTGTAGATGAACACAATATACTTTATTTATATTTAGGTTGTGCTTTTTGTTGTGGTTTCTCCCAGTTGACATGAGCTGCATGCATTAGTAAATTGTTTTGTCTTTCTTGTTAATTTGTCTTTTGTTATAAGAGCCTACTCTAAGTACCAGCTAGCTGGGGGTGGAGCTCAGTGGAAGAGCACTTGCCTAGCTTGTGCAAGGACTTGGGTTTGATCCCAGCACCACACAACTGCCCCCACCCAASCCCCAAAACACACACACAAAGGAAGAAGGAAGGAAAGAGATTAGGCCCAGAGGTGTGACTCAGCATGGGCCCAGTATGCCTGAGGCCCTGGATTGGATCCCCAGCACAGCAAGAATAAAATCAATAACTCCTGATAGTTGAGAAATTTTTTATTTTCTTCCCTACAGTGTTGTTAACAATCATGCCAGTTTGTCAGAAAAACCTTCATATGTATATTTAGTTGTAGTTGGACACAATACCTTTAGTTGTAGGTGGACACAATATCTTTATTTTATTTATTTATTTTTATGTGGTGCTGAGGATCAATCCCAGGGCTTCGCACATGCTAGGCGAGCGCTCTACCACTGAGCCCGAGCCCCAGCCCCTCAGAAAAACCTTTTTAATACAAAATTCTGAGAGGATTCAGCACTCGGATATGACAAAAGAAGGAGCATTAATTGTATAATATTCTATATTCAAAACAGAACTTTAATGGAAAATGCAGGAATTCTCCTCTTGTAATTCTGGATAGCTAAAATCCTGGGTAGACTGCTCAGCTATGGTCCCCCAAGGTCCACAGGAAGCAGGGGCTAATTCTGTGGCTCAGACCTGGATTTAGTTGAGAAAATTTTTATCTTTCTTCTGGATTTAGGTCCCAGCTCTGCCATTTACTTTTTATTTTTATTTATTTTTTTGGTACTGGGGATTGAACTCAGGGGCACTCAACCACTGAGCCACATCCTCAGCTTTACTTTGTATTTTATTTGGAGACAGGGTCTCACTGAGTCGCTTAGGGCCTCACTTTTGCTGAGGCTGGCTTTGAACTCACAGTTGTCCTGCCGGGATTAGGGCGTGGCTATCACTTTTTGTCAAAAGCCTGGACAACTTTTGGGCCCCATTGTCCACTCTGTGACAGGGGTGACAAAGAGCTCCACTGGTTGAATGTCCGGTGTGTGTGCCAGGACCATGCACAGTTCCTGTTCAACACCTTATATGGATTAGCTCTTGTAATCTCCAAGACTATCATTACCCCTGTTTTAGGTGGGCCTGCGTCTGCCTGACTCTCCGACCCAGGCAGCACCCACTGGGGGAGRCTCCAGGTGTTTTACAAAGCACCCATATGAGAGTGTTCCCAGCTCTTCTAGAACATTCTAAGAGCATGCTGAGGCCCAGTGGCCTTCCTCCTCCACGAACAGCCGATGGCCACCCACTTTAGTCCCGCTCACAGACGATAGAAGAGTCAGTGGCCACCTGAAACACAAGGGCCCACATTCCTGTCTCATTCTGGGGAGCTCAGGGAAGGGGCAGGAGGGCAGAAGACATATTGGGCATCTTCTGTGTTCCTGAGACCTAGCCCAGCAGGAGCTCCCTGCCTCCCTTCCCTTTAGGGATATCTTGACAG